GGGCCCCGTGGAGTGTCCTCCTTTAGGAGGCTCCAAATATGGTAACCCTAGCTAACAGGAGGTGTTCTGTTGCTGCAGTTAATTAGGGTGACCAGATGAGAGGAAGAAAATATTGGGACACATGGGAGGGCCACCAGCGAAGCAAAAAAAAACCCCACCAGAGTGCGAAATATTGGGACAAATTGCGTCCTGACCAAACATCGGTCGGGACACAGGACAAACACCTAAATATCGGGACATCTGGTCACCCTAAATTAATCCACCTCTCTGAGGAGTTGTCTACTGTAGGGACAAAGCCGCATCATTGAAGATGCTTATGCTACCTTTGCAGATGGGGAGAGCTTCTCCTGTTGGCAAAGGTACTCCACCACCCTGAGACACGATAGCTATATCAAGGAGAGAAGCCCTCCTGTTGACATAGCACTGTCTACACCGGGAGTTAGGTTGGTATAATTGTGTCGCTCAAGGGTGTGGATTTTCCACGCCCGTGAGCGACATAGTTATACTGACATAAATTTGTAATATAGACCAGGGCTGAGAGCAGATAGTTAGGTCGAAGGAAGAATTTGTGTATTAACCTAGGGCTTTCTACACCAGGGGTTAGATTGGCATAGCTACATCTCATAGATGTAGATTTTTCACCCCACTGAGAGACTGGCTATGCTGATGTTAATTCCCAGTGTAGACTAGCCCTATGACATTCATCATCTTTCCTCCTGCTGCTGACTCCAAACCTCCATAGTCTGCCTGGGCTAGAGTTTTTGGTCCTGCTGTTACCCAAATTAGATTTTTTGTCTCTTAATTAAAATTATTATAAATGCTAATCTAGGCACCCCCACAAATATTTGTTCCTGGTCTTGGGTCACTGTAGGCTGGGGCCTAAGAATGAGATGATATAAATTAAAAACAGTTTATATATTTTAATATATAAAGTACATGAAATCTACAAAACAAAAATAAATAATGTATTTATGGCATTGAATAACCAATATATCTAATTTGCTGTCCCCACCAAGAACTAGAAAATGTTTGTTTGCTGTGTTGTGGGGCCTTTTTGAAACCATTGAACCATAACTGAATGGAACAGTAATATTAAATAGCAAGGTATATGGTTACACTTATTGAGAAACTGCGCTTGTACTCACCTGGCTGTGTTAGAGATAGGGTTACAACCAATGTAACCAAATGCACCCACTGTGAAACAGAGTACCTGTATCACGTGTAGACTAAAGCATTTAGAACTGTAAAATTTAATACCTACCTAGGTATAAATTTCCAGAGCATCTACTATAACTCTAGCAGTGGTCTAGGAAATGTAACCATTCACCTACAATTGGTATTAGGGAGTATTTATTCTGTAGCTTTTTCAGATTTTGTCCACTTTTTGCAGCAATTCAGTTCAAGTCAACATTTTTAATGATTGAAGTAAGTTTCCTTCTATTTCTGCTGAAGTTTATGTTGCTTTCATATATGATGTGAGAATTAGCTATACAATATCATTCCTCACTTTGTGAGGCTAAGAAGATTGCTGGGTAGTGTACTGAAAGAATCTACAGTACTTTATGTGACAAAGTACAAGAGAACAGGAATGGATTCAAAGAAAGAGGCTTTGTTGGGATCATCCGTGAGTACAGTTGTGTGAGAAATGCATTATGCTCTGTGAAGTGAAGGATGAGAAATGAAATTGTATTGCACAGTAAATTTCATTTTGTCTAAAGAAAAGTTATCTGTTTAATTCCCCATATTTGTCTTTTGTGTCTAGCAGATAGATGATATATGTGCTCCCAAAGGTTCAAAATATCTCTGGAAACCTTCCTTAAAGCAGCAGTAACACAGTCCCTTGTGTGAAGGGAGAAGAAGACATATGTTTTGGGTTGTATTATTTTGGTGTACAACATTATTCTGCTATTTATAGAGGCATGTAGAAGAGTACTTTCCTAGTAAAGTATCACAATAGCAGTAATGGTTAGGGTCTCTTATTAAGATTAGGTCCCCATTGTGCTGGGCTCCATATGCACATATAATGAAAAGATGGTCCTTGGCCAAAAGAGTTTATAGTCAAAGGTCTTGGAAATTTTACCATTGGAGTAAAAGTACGCCAACACTGAGTACCTTTAAAAGTCCCACCCATAGTCAGGCTTGGCCTTAGAATTGGAAGGGCCAACCTGCTAGAGGAAGAGGGGAGGATCACTTGATGAGTCCCAGTCCCACTGAGAGAGGGGAGAGAAAGAGTCATCTTATGATTTGAGAAGTCAATAGAGGAGTTGGCATGTGCCCAGAACCCTTTCAAAATAAGTGATTGAGAAGTATAAGCCTCACACATTTAGAACACTTATGTGAGGCTATAAAGGTGGGGGATGGCTCCTAACTTCCTCTCTTCCTTTCCAGCACCTGTTTGTACAACACACTAGCAGCACTCAAATAATACTGATAAAATAATACCTATAAAAGTGAAAGCAACCACATAAGTTCTCATATGAAGTGTTCAGTGTGAAATTAAAGGAATTTTTGAATTCCAGCTCATTAGAAAAGCTATTTTTCTTAAGGTGACCAATAGCAAACCGCACTGTACTCAGACTGCTCTGAGTTGTGCTGGCGGTAGTGGCCAGCAAGGTGTAATTCCAGCATCTGAAGATTGCTCTTCCTTCTCCCAACGCTACTATATGAGTAGTTGGCTGGTTAAGATGCCTTTACTGCTGTAGTGAGGACAGAATCTAACCCTGTGTGTAGAAAAATCCAGCTTCATGTTATGCTGATCTTGGCCCTTGTTATGCATAAAATAGGTGCTTTTACTGTTCTTGGCTCCATTACTAACTTTATTCATTTTTATTTAGTTTGTAAACACTGCAGTTTACAAACTAGTAAAGACAAATAACCTGGTATTATAGACTGTGGGCCACATCCTTTCCCCAGTAATTTGATATTTGTGTAACTCTATTGACTTAAATAGAGTTGATCCTGATTTATACCAGTGTAACCGAGAGGAAAATCAGGCCCTTTATGTACCTGTCTCCCACTGAAGAAGACTATGGAAGTTTGTGTGGAGAAGGACTGCAGGATCAGATCTAAGATATATGCTTATGCTTTTACTTAATATATTGTAAGATATATTTAAATGTGAGCTAGTTTTCTCATGTATTACAGAATTTGATACATACAATAGTAAAAGCTCTACATGAAAGCTGAGGACCAATGAAATGTAAATGGAATATAATCAAGACATACAGATTAGGACAAGTAAAAGCAGACAACCTGACCATCTGAAAAAACAAGTGAATAACATATTATTAGATAACTTTGACTATCCTGAGGATGCAACTGATGAGGAGCAAGAAGACTTACCTTATGATGGAGACCTAGAAAGAACTTATCATCACAATAATGAATCAAATAATTTGAAAGCCTGTGTTTCTGTAGAAAACATTTCTGATAATTTCTTAAATTTGACCTGTTCTGAAATTAACAGAAGTTTAAAAGAAGAAATAAATTATGAAACACAACAGCTATCTCAAGAAAAGGTCTTCAGCCACCATACACCCGCCACAAGAACAAATGGAATAATGATTGAAATGGCAATAGAAGCTCCTGTGAGTGGCATGCCTTTGGAGACAGAATTATCAGTTGGAGCTTTTAGCAGCCTAGATAGGAAGGAACATTTCACCAACTCAAAAATTTCTGATGTTCTTTTGCGTCATTTTTCCAAAGAAGAGTTATCAAACACAAGCCAATTAATTGATTGTGAAACTATCCCAGAAACATCCTTTACTGAAAGTGTTGATGAAACTGTCCTCACTAAAACTAGGATTTCAGAATGCTCCAAGCGCACTTTACTAACAGAACAATGGGCAGAGCATTTTGAAGACTATCATTTAAACAGACAAGA